AAATTTAATTCAATCTAAATATGGCACTAGGACTACTGTGTCTTTTAAATCGTTATACACCATTAGCAATGACCTCTGCTTTTTTTTTTTTTTAATATAGTTTCAGAGCTGTCTCTACCAAAGACTAGCTTACCGTCTCTGCCTCATGTCTGCTACTCCACTTTTCTGCTATAATTTGTCCACCTTATTCCCTCATTCCATGGTCTGCCCCGTTCACTGAGGCCTCTCTGCCACTGTAGCTGTAATCCTGATATCTCTTCCTCTCTTTCTCTGTAATGTCCTTCAGCGCTCTCTGTAGGGTTGGATTGGTGGCCACGAACTCCCACAGTTCCTCCTTGTCTTGAAAGTATCTTATTTCTTCATTAATTTTTAGAGAGAGTTTTGACGGATATATGAACTTAGGTTGCATATTTTTTTCCTTCAGGACTTGGAATATTTCTCCCCACTCCCTTCTTGACTTAAGAGTTTGTGTTGATAAGTCTGCTGTACAGCAACATCTTTACAGCAGTTAAAATGAATGAACTATAGATTGACTCATCAATTGTGAATGAGTCTCAAAAGCATAAATTTAGGAAAAGAAGTAAGTATAGAAGAATGCATCTGTTTTCTTTTAATTGATGTCTAACAGCAGTGTAAGTCAACTTGCAAAATGTTAGAACCATAAAGGGAAGCAGTGGATAATTAATATAAAATTTAGAATTCTCATCTGAGAGTGGGAAGGCAGGAGAATGGGATGTGTGAGGGACCTAGGTGGGTTTTCTAAGCTCTGGGTAGTGAGTTCATGGATGCTCATTTTTATTTTTTAGCCTTTAAGCTGTTTTATCTACTTGGTCTCAAGCCTAATATATTTCACAATAAAACCTGAAGCAATCCAGGGGATAATGGTGCATGCTTGTAATCCTAGCACTCTGTGGGGACTGATACAGGAGGACTGGAAGTTTGAGCCCAAAAAGTTTGGGCAACTTTGTAAGACCCTGTCTCAAAATAAAAAATAAAGGAGTAGGGATGTAGTTTAATGCAAAGGCCTCAGGTTCAATCTCCACTGCTGCAAAACAAAATAATAAAAAAAAAAAACCTAATGTATAAAGGGCTTTAAGGAAATTTAAAGGGATTGATGCATACTATGATTTGATTATTACAAAGCATACGTGAAGGTGAGTAATTCAAACTGTATGTTCCCTTTTTAGCATCATCTCCTACCAACTGCCTCCTGTTGTTTGAATGCTGAATATTCCCCCAAAGCCAGGCTTGGTCCCTACAGTATTACTATTGGAAGTAGTGGAATGTCTAAGAGGTGGGGCCCATTGAGAGATTGTTAGGTCTTTGGAGGAGGTGCCCACTGGTGTTGCTATGTCCTTGGTTTGGAGTGTCCTTACTTGCTTTTTGCTGTATGACAAAATTCTTTTTTTTAAAAAAATTTTATTTTTATTAGTATATGTTTGTAGAGCATGATTGTAGTCAATGTGGGGAGTTGGGATGTGTGCATAACACGTCTTAATTCTCGTATGTCCCTTTCTTCTCCAATCTCTTCCCTTTCCTCTTTTCTGCATCTCTTGGTTCTGTTCCCATTTGCAAAAGCTCTATCTCTCCGTTTCCTATTATTTATCTTTTATTCTGCTCTTTAACTGATTTATACTTTGGCAAACTCTGTACCTTCTTCAGCCTCTCAGATATTCCCTCTGCTCTGAAACCTTTCTACCTCCCTCACCTTCTCCTTCTTCCTCCTTAATCACCCCTGCCTCGCTGGGCCTGTGGCTCGGAAGATAACTCCCTTGTAAGAGTTATAATTAGTTGTTTAAATATATGCTGTTTGTCCCCATCCCTTGTAGCCTGATGGCCTTGATGTAGAGTAAAAACCTGGCTTTATCCTATTTGTTCTGTAGTCTCGTGCAGTTAGGGAAACACAATAAGTAGTCAAAGAGAGAAAAAATGAGGTGTCAACCCACCTCTTCTCGCTGGGGTATTTACTGAATGAAGAAAGCCAGTGGAGGAGGGCGCAATCATTTTGTTTTTGGCTTTGTGTACCAGGGCAAGGAGTTTGGGCCTTGCTCAGTATTTGTTCAGGGGACCTTTTATAGGCCCAAAGCAGTGTTTCCAGAAGATTCATCATGAATTGGAGGTAAGAGATCAATTAAGAGGCAATTATAATACTACAGCTATAGACAGTAAAGGGTGAACTATGCTAATATCAATGATCATAAAGATAAAACAATTAGAGAGGTCTGCAACAGCACTTCTTAAATTTTAATGTGCACACCCCAGTCAGCTGGGAACTTTATCGAAATGCACATTCTGATTCAGTAGCTTTGGGGTGAGTGGCCTGAAATGCTGCGTTTCTAGGAAGGTGAGAGCTGAGACAAGCCAGAGATTTGCCTGGTCCAGTACAGTAGCCTCTGCCAGGTGGCTGACAAAAATTCAAACCATTACTGCAACTGGGGGACAGGATACTCACTTCAAAGTGATTTTAAGCAGTTCAAATTTATACTTAAAAACAGACAATGCAAACTGTTTCTTCAGCACATGAAACTGCCTTTCATTGTAAATATTACAATTCAGCATCTGAATTGAGATGAGCTGTTAAGTGTAAGAGACACATAGGATTTAGATTAGTTAGTATACAATGTCCCATTACTTATTTTGATGATTTAGTTAATTTATTTTGATAATTAATGGGACATTCAATTATTTTGATATCTAAATAACATTTGAAGTTTATTGAGTTAAAAAAGATACATTTAAAATTACCTTCACTGGTTTGCTTTTTACCTTATAAGAATGTGGCTACCTGCAAATTTAAAATTATAAATGAGGCTTATATTTTATTTCTACAGGACAGCAGTGTTTGGGCCTCCGCTGTGAGAAGCAAGGCTCCGTAGTACTTAGGATCTCCCCTTTATATGGGCAGGCATCATGCTGGTCCCTTACACACATGAGCTGGCATTTGTTTCGCAATTTTATTACAAAGATGCTCAGTTGACTAAAGCATCTCCTCATTGCTCTAGAAAGTGACTCTGTAACGTTGTCTTCCATAATAACCTAATTGAATGCCTAACTACCACAATACAATATTTCAAATAATACATTGATTCCTTGATTTGTCACAGAAGAATGTACAAGAAGCAGATCCAAGATTAGAGAGATGATCTCTCTTAATACTGCTGTGTGGCGGTTTCTGTAAATGCTGCTTCCCCCGGAGAAAACGCTTTCTTTTAGTGCTCACCAAATTGGTCCTTCAGGGATTGGCCAACATTGCAGAAAGCCAGACATGTTGCCTCATCCACAAACATTAACTATAAATATATAATCCATTTTGTAAAAAGAATATTGGCTGGAAAACCCTGATCCCATAGTTGCTACTGGTTACACCACATCTACCTCATTTGTAAGCATCCTCAAATGTATACTGTGTGAATATTCAAGATTTATTAACTTACAGTTCTTCTGATTAAAGTATGATTCCATTTTAAGAAATCACTAAAATGAGCTTCTACAATAAATCTATTCATTCCATTCATTCAACCTGTATTTGTGTAAGACCTGTAGGCTGGTCATTGTAGACATTGACAATTTAATAGGACAAACAAAACAAAGAGGCTTGGCGACACACATCCATAATCTCAGCTGTTCAGGAGGCTGAGGCAGACAGATTGCAAGTTCCAAATTCAACCAAAGTAACTTAGTGAGATCTTTCCCCAAAACAAAAACATGCTTTCAAAAAAAAAGGTTTAGTGATGTAGCTCATGGTAAATCACTTGCCTAGCATGTTCCAGGGCCAGAGCTCAATCCCTAGCACTACAAACACAAAACCAAAACAACTTCAAAATTGATGCTATTCTTAAACTTACTTTCTGGAGATCTCTAAAGATGGACACAATTTAGTAAGTTGGATAGCGATTGGTGACTTTAAAAAAAAGACAGTTTGCATAGCATGGCAGGCTGTGCTTATCTGAGGCACTACTGTTGCAATAGAAAACTGAATGCAGTTAGGGAGCTGTAGCCACACTGAATCTGGGGATGAGCACTCCCTATGGAGTTGGCCCAGGAGCCAGCACCCCATGGTGTGGGAGGCTGGAGCTGGGAGGGAGGGCAGGAAGTGAGGCCAGAGCAGAATCCAAACGCAGACCTGTAGGGCTGGGTTTGCAACAGGAAAGTCTGTGGCTATTTTGCTGCATGTGCTCTAAGATCTCAGGAGCATCTGAGCTGAGCAGTGGCTTCCCCCAGCGTTTGAGCTCAGCTGTCCACATGTGTGCCCTTGCTGATGCAAGGCAGATGAAAGAAAAATAGTCAGTATGGAACCCAAACAAGTCATTATTATTTGTGTAGTTTCCTATTGGATCTTAGTTTTTAAAAATCCATCTAAATTTATTGCCACCCAAACCATGTATTCATCTTTTATTCCACCCACATCATTGCCAATTTCTGTCCTTCCCCTGCTAACTAAAACACCATTTATCCATATTCTCTTATCTCTAATAGTTTCTCTTGAGATAAGGTATGATCAAAAATATGGTGACTGTTCAAATTTAAATTATTACAGTAAAAGACATTGCCATTAATCCTCCCTAAAATATTCCCCTTTACTTTGAACACACGTATCCCTTTATTCTCACCATGTTCTGAAGCAGTCCTGGAAATCCTCTTTCCTGTTTTTAGATGCCCTGTTGTGGCTGCGGCAATGTTCTGAATTAGTTCAAAACATTTACCTTTGTGGTCATTTTGTGTTTGGGGAACGTCCCAAAGTTGCATGGTGCCAGATCTATTGAATAAGGTGGTTAAGAACCTACTGTAATGTTTTTAGGAGCCTGCCTTTCTGTTGGATGCCCCTTGGCAGTAGCATTGACTACATTTTTTTATTATACCTCATAAAGACATTTTATGATATATATAGTATATGATATATATAACTATATTGATGTACATATTTTACATTTTTTTAATCACAGAAAATTGTCATACAATTGCGACTTGTATAAATATAACTTTGTTTTCTTTCTTTGCAGGTAATCAATTAACTAGTTGTAAAAACCATATTTTGGAGTTTAAGGAAAATATTCTACATTTAAAAAGTACTAACAAACATAATCATGAAGAGCTCTTGAAAACCTTGACTGAGATGACGCATGAAATCATGCAGAGAGGAAATCAGTCAGAAAATTTAGGTCAGTGTTGCTTTTGTTCCTTGTGTATGGTAGCTTATTTGTCTTAAAGTTCAGTTTTTGGAGATTTAGATCAAATGCCTTCTGATTTTTAGGCATTTTCCCCTCCATAACCGTAAGTAATCTTAGTTCCATGCTCTTAGCGTGCGGCTGTGGACACCAGCTGAGAGACATCGCAGGTCACTCTCCTTGAATCTGCTTGGACAGTGGTCTCTCTCTCTATGGACTGCACCACCCCATTCACCCTGTAAATACAGCCGGCACCTGGCACCACCGCTGACCCTGTCCTTGCCTTCCTCCAGCCCGTCAGCAAGCAGCCCTCTCGATCCTTATCCTGCTACCTCACACGTCTGTTCACAGTTCCACCCACTTCCATGACTTCTGCTCATCTCAGTGCTGGACAAATCACACACTCCAGTTCTTCCTTCTCTCCAGTGTCGTACTCACCTGTTTGTATCCACAGCGGCCCACATGAAGACCACACCACCATGAATGTGAACCTTCCGTCCATTACTCCAGGGTAAAAATTCCCACCTGTGTTTCTCCTGTGTAGTCCAGTTCTTCATCCATCCACACTTAAACCCCCGGCAATCGCGGGTCGGTTTCCTGGTTGCCGTGGAAATGCAGCCCTACAGGGCATCACCCTGCGAGGCTGGCTTGTTTCACGCAGCACAGACACACGCAAATCCTTGTGCGAATAATCATTTCTCCCTCTTTTATTGCTGAGATTTCATTGTATGGGTGTACAATGGATACAGTTTGCTAATCTTTTCACCAGTTGAAAGGACATTTGAGTTGTTTAGGTTTGGGGCAGTTAAAAAAATCACTATTGCTTATAAGCATTCATCACAGGGAATTTTTTCTTTGAAGAAAATTTTTTAATTTTTTCAAGATTACAACTAGAATAGGACCGATGTGGTTTACGTCCAGTCTGTGTTTAACTTGTCAGAACCTGCCAGACTATGGGGGTCTGTGTCTAGATCCCCAGTCTCCTAAATGAGTGCGCAGCAAAGGCTCAAATGAATGAGAGGAGCGGCATGATCTTTAGGGCTCCAGGAGGACCAAAACCCTCTGCAGAGTTCTTAACTCTGGTGGCTGAGACAGACAGTGTCTCTGGGCGGGCCCTATTTATTTAGCATTCAAACAAGGAAGGGGTTAGAGTAGAAAACACAGGAAACCTGAGTAGGACTTTGGGAGGGGCTCAAGGGCCCCTCCCAGCAGCAGAGGGGTGCTAATTAAGGAGAACTACCCTAGGAGACTCTCCGGGTGTCCTCAGCTGTGGCCTATCTTGCCCCCTGAGGCATCTCCTCTTTCTCAATTCAGCCATGCCCAGGCCAGCCATAGCCCTGCATGTGTATTCAGCTTTGATGGCTCTGACACTGCTCACCAGGGTGGGCAGACTACTTCACATCCTCTGCAACAGTGTAAGAGATTTCCAGTCACTCCTGTTCCTGTGGCCATTCCAGTGTCACTGTCCTCAGTTCTAAGTATTAATCCCCCTGTGATTACTGATGGTTGACATTTATATGTGCTTCTTTGCCATCGAGAGATCTCATTTAGAAATCATCTGTTCAAATCGTTTTCCCCATTTTTTAATTGAGTTGTTTGCTTTCTTGTCAAATTTTGACATCCTGGATACATCTTATCCTGGATAGATACCAGATGGATACATGCTTGAAAATATTTTCTTCCAGTCTGTGCCTTGACTTGCCTTTTTTCTTTTTCTTTTTTTTCCTGGCACTGAGGATGAAACCACCCCCAGGCCTTCACAATGAGCTGTATCCCTACCCCTTTTTAAATTTTATGATAGTGCTGTACTAAGTTGCCCAGGCAAGACTTGAATTTGCAACCCTCCTGTCTTAACCTCCAAAGTACTGGATTAACAGATGTATACCACAATATTTGGTTTTATTTTCTTGATGTTCTTCAGAAGTCAGACACTTTAATTTTTCTTGAAGTCCAATTAATCAAGTTTTCTTTAATGTATTGTTGTGCTGTATCTAGGACATCTTTACCTTGCTCATGGTTACAAGGATTTTCTTTTATTTTTGAAAACTTCATAGTTTCATGTTTTACATTTATGGTTTTGAAACTTTTGAGTTAATTTTTGTAAGTGGTCTGCAGTACAGAGCAAGGTTCAGTGTTTTTATTCGAATTCATAAATGTCCCTGCGCTAGGCTATTAATTGTCTTTTCTGGATTGATCAGTTGCTTGCTCAGCTTTGTCAAAAATCAGCCAAGCATGTATGTGTGATCAATTTCTGTATTCTGTAGTCTGTGAAATTGCATATTTTTATGTAATATCATACTGCTTTGATTACCAAATTATATATTACATAATAAGTTAAACTTCAGTAGTATGAGCCCTCTAGGTTTGTTTTTCTTTTTTGAAATTGCTTAAGAAAAATTTAATGAAGGGTATGAACAGTCATTAAATGTTAAGGGGCTACAAAATGGTTATAAAGTTGCAAACATTACTTAAGTGATATTTACCAGAATTGAGAAGCCCTTTCCTGCACGTTTCACTTAAAGCTAACAGCTTTGTTGGTCTGTGGTGTAGCTCATAGTGCTAGGCTTCACTTAAAATTGCTTTTAAAATAAACTTAAATCAATAATCTTTGAGTATACTTTATTACAATATAATTTTGATAGTTTACATATAAGTATACATTTCTCTTTCATACTAAATTAGTCTGTGGATTAATTTATTAACCCTCATTTAGAAAATTTGTATCAGAGAGAAAAAAATGCCTATGGCTAAAAACTCAGAAGCCCTGTTTATTTTATCTTCCAGATGAGAAGGAAACGGATACCCCGAGTAAGGAAGAAACCATTTCTAATCTATTTGAAGACTTTAAGTTCTTTCTTCCTCATCTAAGGAAAGTCAAAAGAATTTATCCTGAAGTATTAATTGGCCAAGGGAAAACAGGCGGTAAGAGACCTTAGACTTGGAAAATTGGAAGGTATTTTGATCTTTGGAAGGTATGCTTTTAAATTTGAAAGTGTAACTCCCTAATATCACTGGAGATTGAGAGGACACCTCCAGCCTGTCTGGCGTTAGGGAGGCTGTGTACACCAGCAGCCAGGATATTCTGTGGTCTGGCAAAAAAAAAAAAAAGTTGTATAAATATTTACTGATTTGATTTAAAATTCAATTTTAATACAGATGCTTTGAAAATAAGTCAGCGTAAACCAAATATACATTAAACATCAGCTGAATACTTGACAGATCTTTTCTCTTTGGTTTTGTAAAGCTATTCGTACCTGGCTGTTTTCTTATTTTCCCATCTTTTTTGAGACTCAGGTCAGCAAAACGTTTTACACAGAGGCAGCACTTAAGCTCATCCTTGAAGTATGAGCTCAATTACACAAAATAAGAAAGAACAAAAAAAACCACTGGAATTTGAAGCAAGGGTGTTGAGCCAAGACTCAGAATTTTATCCTATAGCAGTGGAAGCCATCCCAAGAATTGTACCAAGGTCATGCCTTCCACCCCCTGAAACTTGATTGCTCCATCACAGGGCACAAAAGAATCAATTCCAGATGGATGGTAGGTCCAAACCGAAAGGTAAACAATAAGCCTTCTTGACAAGAACCCAGGAAAACATCCTTAGGATGTAGAGATAAGCAAAGATTTCTCAAAAGAACCCAAAAAGATCAACTATAAAGGAAAAAATGACTAAGCTGCACTACTTTAAAATGAGGAATTTCTGTGCATTAGGAGACACGATATTGAAAAGGGAACCCAGAATGGGGATGTTATCTTTATGACACATAACAAACAAGGGGATCATATTTGGAATATGTAATGAGCACCAGGTAACTAGTGAAGGAGCCAGGTGTAGTGGCACCACCTGTAATCCCAGCACACCGCTCAGGCAGGAGGGATATCACAAGTTCAGGCCCAGCCTAAGGGCTCCAGTTGTTCAAATTCAATGATAATCAGTAAAGCACTAAATTTTACTGCTGTTTCCAAAGTTCAGTCTCTTTCTTTAAATAAACGTTTCTCAGTTTGTTGTATATTATGGCCATAAAATAACTATTTCATTCATTTCTTTTCTTTTTTTTTTTTTTTAAGTTTTCTTACTGCTTTTTAGGAAGATGATTTTCTGAGTCCCTCATTTAGCCATTCTGGAAATCCTTTTCATTTTCAACGTGGGGCAATTGAGGATAGAGAGGCTGTGTTCTTCCCTCCTCTCAGACCACCAGAAACTGGGGCCGCCATGACTGGCTTTGGGCGGAATTCCTTGATGAAATCTTGATTCAGTTCTCCTTCAGGATAACATGGGGATGGTTTTCCTCAGTGCTTCACTTTGTACTGAGCAATAAAAGCCACTTAAGGGCGTGGAGCCATTCCATCAAACCACTTAGAAATTACTGCAGACATTTTTCTCACTGGTGAAAACATCTCATAGTCTTTTCACTGTTGGCATTCCAGAGTCTCTTGAAGAGGAAGGGTAGAGGATCAGCCATTGTGTGACCGTTGGTATGAAAACTGTGATAGGTAGCAAGTGTTCGATTTGATTTTTATTGCACCACAACCTTCCAGCATAAGAATATTGTGGGGTCTATTTAATATACTGACTAAAATATAACCCACTGGAAATGAGAATTCCCTCCAACAAAAAATGAAAGATGTGATAACACAGTTAGGGTTGTTTTTATGATGCAGTTTCAAACAACTTTTATGAGCCTAAGACTAACCCAAACATAAAAAGAAGCACAGAATTAGTGCTGTTGTTTTGATTTATGCCTTGAAATGACGCCTCCATACTCTGGTATGTGCAGTTTCTTTTGCAGTAGGAATTCCCACCACAAGCAGAGGAAATCACACTTACCTGAAGCAAACACTGAACTCTGTTGTCAGCAGGATGACGCCTTGGGAAGAGAAGGATGCTGTCGTGATTGTTTCTGTTGCAGATGTATGTATGCAAAATAACAAATTCTTATTCTCTCCTCTTCCAAATTCCCTTCCTCACTGGGAATCACCTTATCATTTTAAATTTTTATTCTAAAATTTTAAAAAATTGAGCTGGGGATATAACTCAGAAGTCCGGTCCCTGCTGGCAAGTGCAAGGTTGAGTTTGAGTCCCAAGACCAAAAAAATAAATTGATTAAATAAATAAATAAAATTTTTAAAAATGCAATCCACATGCATGCCTGTTTTGGGTTGAAGACAATATATGTAATACTTTTTGATGCCATTGAGAAAGAATTCAATATGTAAATCTACAAAGAAAACAAAATGCTTTAGTATGGGAGAGATAATTTTGCTAAATTTGAATTGCATCTACTATAGCATTACTGCATTCTATAAGATACAGAAATTATATTTTAAACAAAATACTGAAATTGATGCTATAGTAGTAAGTTGTGCTTAGCCCAATAAAATATTGATAAATACATTTGGGAAACTGAGGTAAGAGGATCGCTGTGAGTGCGAGGCCATCCTGGGCCACCTAGTAAGATCAAGGCCTACTAATAATATTTTTTAAAGTTGTTATATTATCCAGAAATAATTTGTATTAAGCCACAATAATTACCTTTAATTGAGAGAGTACTTATGCCTGAGGGATTGTGGAAAATTTTTCTAGACATTATTTACATCTTGTGTTGCCTCCCTGTAAAGTAGGTATCAACATCCTCGTCTTACTGATGGAGGAACAAGAGTTTAAAGAAAGTTAATTAAGTTGCCTAATATTTAAAGGTTCAAATTTAGGTTTCTATAATGGCTCCAAAGATTTCTGTCTACCCCTAATGCCATTATGGTAATCACTGTAGAATCTGAAAATTTGAGTAAAACTATATAGTACTGTGTATATATTAGGAACATAAGACATTTTGGAGGAATTTGGCAACATGTATCATATTTAAAATGTGTCAATCTTTTATCTCATAAATCCAAATTTGGTGAATTTATCCATAATAGATAATTATGCAAGTGTTTAAACACAGTAAGAATCTGGCAGTATAAAATAATAGTTGAAACCACAGATTCTGCATCTGGATTGTCAAGGTTCAATTTCAAATTCTATGCTTCCTGGCTTGTAATCTTGGGCAACTTATTTAAGTTCTCTGTGCCTACTTTCCTTGTCTGTTAAATGATGATAATACCACAGCAGTCTTTGAGGAATAGATTAGCTAATATACTGAAAGTAGTTGGATTTAAAATGATACAAAAAGTAATGATTTCAGTACAGCTCGATGACAATATAAGAAAAGACCCAAAATATCTACCAGCAAGAGGCTGAGTAAATATTTTAGATCTCTAATGCAATATTGTATAGTCCTTAAAAGGAAAAAGAGTATCTCTACACACTGATATAAAATCACATCTATATCGTATGGCTGAATATAAAAAAGTTATAAAGCGTCACATTTAACATAATATAGTCTGTGTAAAATGAGACGGAAAAGAAAACACATAAAAAGTAAATGCATAAAGCAAAAAGAGTGTAATAACTCTAGAATATTCATCAGGTTTCTGTGTCTGTGACAAAACACTGAAGATACACAATTTAAAGGAGGAAAAGTTTACTTCACCTGATGGTTTCAGAGGTTTCACGCTATGGTGGGTTGGGTCATTGCTTTTTAGACCCAAGGCAAGGCAGCAACACAGTGATGGAAGGACAGGGTAGAGGGAAATGATTCAATTCTCAGCAGCTGGAAAACAGAGAGGATGAAGAGGGTCTCAACTTTCCCTTCTAAAGCACATCCCCAGTGACCTAGGCTGGGACCAGCCCTTGAATAGATGGTATTTGGGCAACTTTCAAGATCTAAATCATGGCACTAAAATAATGGCCCCCAAAATATAAATAATGCTTATCTCAGGATGCTGGGAGTTAGAGGAATCATAGTTACTCTTTCTTTTTCACTTGAGTGCCTTATAATAAAGATGTATTTGAATGCAGAGAAAGAAAGCCCTCTAAACCAAAAATTTTCAGTGGAGCTACCATAAAAGTGTAAACAAAAGATTAAACACTTGTTTTAGTTCATCCCAGTTTCATTTCGTATATTGGGAGCACACATATAATCTCCAAAATATTTCGACATATCTCTGTAGTTTGTAGTTTTTGTTTGCTTTTTGCATGATACACATTGTTTAAAATGTTTAGACAAATAAAATATTGGGGAACCAATTTAAAAGTGCGATACAGAAGGCTTAAGAAATATAACTGTATTGTGCTTAATATCTGTCAAAATTGATTCAATTTATGCTTATTGGTACTTTAGGCCATACGTGGTGGCACACACCTAAAATCCCAGTCCTTGGAAGGCTGAGGCAGGAGGATTGTGTGAGTTCAAGGTCAGCCCGCACTGCTTAGTGAAACGCTGTCTCAAAATGACCAAGAATAAATAAATAAATAAAGTAAAATTAAAAAAGAATTTTAGGTGCTACAATAGACTTGGCTACAATATACCTGATGTTTTTAAACACCCTGATTATATATAGTCAGAGCTGTCTTTTTAGCATCTCAGGTTTAACAATAGACTTGTCATTCTTTCAAATACTTTCATAATTTTATATTGGAAACCTTTATGGGTTCTGAAACCACATCTTGTAAGTGGCATCAGTTATTTTTTTAAAAAATAACTCCCAAGGAGATACACACCAGAAGCTTTTCACGAATGAGTTTGTAGTCTAATCCAGCATACTGTTTGAACAAGTTCACAGAGTTTAGGTCAGAAGAAAATTTTGGAGTTAGGCCAAGTAATAAAGTCACAGAACTGTGGCACTACTTTATAAAGTAAGCTTGTTGTCACATAACACTCAGAAAATGAAGACATTTTCCAAAACAGTAGTTCTTTGAATTAAATCATTCCAAGGTGACCAGTTTTGGAGCAAAACACTTAGATAGAGAAGGTTCTGTGTACTAATGCTTAAATGTAAAAATGGACAGTAATTTTTCATATGAGAGCAAAGGGACAATGATGCAATATTTTCTGTATTCAAGTCACAATTCTTAAATACATGTTTTTAAAAATGTCTCATACAAACTGAAAATGCTAGAAAATATGAGGACACCAACATTTCACATATAGATTTACATAGAGCAAAAGTGTTTTAATAATAAAACCATGAATCATGCTTACTTTCATTAAATTTTTCCTGATTTTTAGAGTAATGAAGATTATGTAAAATCGGTTGTTGACATGGTTAGAAAAAGGTAAGTACGGAGTGATAAATGACAAAGTTAGCCATTCTTTCATTTTTCCCTCCTACCTTTTTCTGTCCACTAGTACTATTACTTGTTAATGATTGTATTCTTTGTAATGAATGCAGCTGTGCAGAAAGAACCTGGTAGCTATTGCTAAGTTGCGATGAAGTATAGCTTACAATTTCTCTGATTTTTGTAGGCTACCTACTTATTAAAATTCACAGATTATTATTGTTAAAATATATATCCTTCGTGGAATTGTTTGATGCTGACAAAAACTACTAGATGGGGTTCAAAACACTATTGTAGAGCTGGGGATTTAGCACAGTGGCATAAGCACCTGCCTTGCAAGCAGGCGGTTGTGAGTTCGATCCCCAGTACTGATAAAAAAAAACACTATTGTATTCCTTACTGCATGAGGTCCAAGTGCTGTAACCAGCCAGAGCACATGCTGTTGAATCAACACAAAGTCATTCATCAAGCAGGATGCTATAGAAGGGGCTCAAATTCATATCTTCAAATGCGCAGTACTACTCGTTAAAAAAACACACCAGAGTGTGGAGGCTGTCATTGAATAGTACAGTTAAGACAGTGTGAGAATATACAGGAGGAGTATTCAACTGTATTTTGCCAGTAGAAAAAGGACATTCGCATTTGTGCCTGCAGTCTCAGCATTCTGGGAGTGAAGTAGGAGAATCACAAATTCAAGCTCAGCCTGGACAACTTAGTAACTTAGTGAGACCTTGTCTCAAAATGTAAAAAGGCTGAGGGTGGAATCCAATCCTCAGTACCGCCCCAGTGCACAAAAGAAAGAAAAAAGGATTTTTTTCGAGAAGATAGTGATTGAGCTGAATCTAAACGTGTAAGTAGATCTTCTTCAGGGAGACAAGAATACATTCTACTTTAAAGCACTGAAGTCCTTGAGTACTAACGCATACTATTTCTTTTAGGAAATTTATCATGAATATTTTAATAGTGCTTATCTTCTTGTCATGGAACTCAAATACAAAGCTAACGCCTGTTCTTAGTTTGGCAAATTGTAATACTTCTGAGTTCAGATCAGGTCTGAACATTTTATCATTTGCAGTGCCAGGTAATGAGAAGCTATATTCTGCGTTTCCTTAATGAGCTTACTTTGGCAGCATCACTTGCGCTGTGACTTGCTTTTCATGGCAACCACCTTCCTCACTGACCTGCCTGATAAGTTCACCCCCGCCAACTTCCCTTTGTTGTGGATCTGGGGTCTCTCGCAGTGGAAGCTGCCAGCATTTCCGAGGGCTGCTGGCTTGTAATCACATGACAGAATTACTACCAGCACCATTGCTTCCCACACTTTCATCTGTCGGTGGATTCCCTCTTTCAATCTCCCACTTTTATTAAATGCCACAAGGGTTTGTTGATGACTAGGAGACTCCTGAGACAGCACACATGCGTGTTTTCCTCTCTGAGAGTGAAGTGGGTAACCCACGCACAGGGACCAGTCGCCAACTGACTTTGGAAGAAGCATTGTGATTGGTCACTGATGAGCATCTGTTCTTTCTGTAGTGATCTGGAATTAGTAGAAGATTGTTGGCATGATTATTCAGTTAATACACTATGGTAACTACAGTTTGAACAGTATTGGTGGCGGAGGCTGTTACCACACACAGTAATTGTAATTGAGGTGTTCGGACCAATGTAGTTGGAGCTGCCAGTTTTGCACAATATTGAAGTTATGTGTATGAAGCATTGTCCTGCTTTTTATTTTAGGCAATAAAAACTAAACATTTTCTTGAGCTTTTAGCATTTTAATAAATAACATAATACCTAAATTTAAATCCTCCCTAGAATTGGCTAAGGGAAGATCATTTAAAGCTCCATCTGGTCTGTCGTTCCTTATCTTGATGATATGAGATTCATATTACGGCTTTTGTGAGCAGTGTTTTATGTACTTTAGTGTTGTCCTTGCTGGTCTATCTGTATTAACTTTCAAAAAATAGAAATACTAAAACAAATACACATAGCTCTCCAAAGAGTTGTCAGTGTCAGATGTGACCTTCTCCTGCTCTGTTACTGTCTTTCAGAAGTCACATTGCTATACTCAAAAGGACTTTATTAAACTCATATACATTTTTAAAAGATTTATTATTATTGCTTTCTTGGGGATATTATCATATTGCATTAGGGTGTGGTATCTTAATGTCAGCATCTACCTCTGTTTATAATTTTTTTTAAAAAGTACTCATGGTTTTTACAAATGGAAGTTATTTTAAACATTAATTTTTGATATGCCTGCCATTAAGATGGAATGCCATTAATTAGTTTTAGTTAAAAAGTAATTATAGGTTATTGGTACCATGTAACAACATATGAAATAATTCAGTTCCCAATATTATGTGGAAATACATGAAGAAGTTGTATTTCAGTATTTATGTTATTTTGCTAAATTAAATATTCACTAAAAGCACCGATTTACTTCTATTTACAGATTCAAAAGACAAGTGAAGTCTGGAACCTTAGAAGTTATTTCCGTCCCTGACTTTTTTTATCCAAGCGTGATACATGAGGAAGCAATTAATTATTCACAAAAAGAGAAGCGGTATGGCATATTAGAGAACCGAACTGCCTCGGTTACTGGTTACTGTCTCCTCCCTCAGACTCCACATCCAGCACCAGCAGCTTAAAGGAGGAGAGGTTTCCATTGGCTCACGGTTTAGCCAACAGTCAATTGGTGGCAGAATCAGCACAGGGGACAAAAGCTGCCCACATCCTGGTGGCCAGGGCACGGTGAGAGGGAGAGATGTCGCCTTCCCAGTCAGCCTCAGGGACCTGCTCCTTGTGACCAAGTCCTGCTCCTAAAAGCAGGTTCAGGTGCACATCTGCAAGCGGATCAAAGCACTGATGAGCCCCATGGGCCCCCCTCTCCCTCCCCCTCCCAGATCTAATCACTTTCCAAACATCCCGCCTCAGAACACAGAAGGCTTCTGGGGGGTCAATTCTAAACCAAAGCCACAACGAGTACTCTAAATAGCTGACTTCACCTGAGGAGACCTTGGGGCCAGCATCTGATAGCTGTTACCATGAAGGCGGAGGGATGTGGGGGAGCCGGCTCCTCCCGGCCTGCAGCGCTGCTGTGTAAACACTTCCCAAGTTCCCACTTCCCAAGACTCTGAGCTAGCAGCATGGGTCAAGGATGGCAGGAGCATTTACACCATGGAAATGGGCAATAGCCAAAATCAGGGCTCTACATCTCCCAAACACTGAGTCAGCTGTTCAACATTTACCTGTGCACTACTGGCTGTACTCATATTTCTGCAAAAATTATTACCAAGGGCACCGAGAAGGGGTTTGTAAGTCCTTCTACCCGGATTCCAGACCGAGCTTTCTCTTGGCTGGCTGTGCTCCGTGTGTTGTTACTCTTTTGATCCATTGCCTCTTTGAGTTCTCGATATGTTTAGAGAAACACTTTATATATGTAATATTTCATATACAAATTTATAAAGAGTAATTTTGAGAATAACATGGTAGTTATAAAGAAATATTGAGAAATTAAAAACTATCCATATGTGATGGATTATATTTTCAAGTAATAAATGTGATAGCTATTAAAGAATATAAGAATTTGGTTCCTCAAAACTGAAAAAAAAATCAGAAATCAGAAAAAGCTCTTACAGGGAACCCCTTAGCTCTGTTTTTGTTTTAAAATTGTGAGTGCAGGTGTGGTGGCACAGGCCTGTGGTCCAGCCCTGGCAGACTGAGGCAGGAGGATCGCAGAGGGTTCGAGACCAGCGTGAACTATGTAGTGAGTTAAAGGCTAACCTGAGCTACAGAGTGAGATCCTGCCTCAAAATGATAAAATAAAATAAAATGTTTCTCAACATCCAGGGGTCATTGTTAACTTTGTTTTGCTTTTAATTAGTTGTTCTCAAGTTTTCCATTCATGAAGTTGTCATCCTAGATCGTTCTTTTTTTTCCTTTAAATCTTTATAGCATCTTTTTTTTTTTTTTTTTTAGACAGCTTCTTGCTATGTAGCTAAGGCTGGCCTTGAACTCACTATGTAGCTCAGGCAGGCCTCCAATTTACAGCAGTCTTCCTGCCTCAGCCTCCATTGCTGGGGTTAGGACAATTGTGTCCTAATTTTACATTTTAGAAGCCCACACCATTTTATTTACTTCTGTGATAAAGAGGATTGAACCCAGGGCCTCTCATACCAGACAGATATTCTATCACTGAGCTACATTCCATACCCTTCATTTTATTAATCTTCTGTCTCATCATAGTAGATTATGCAATCTAGAGAGCAAAAACTGTTATGTGTTCTTCTTTATATCTTAAGCAAATGGCCTAGCATTTGTACTAAATGAGAATAAAGTTTCTTTATGCATTCATATGAATAAAACTCAAGATCATACAGAATGTTAACTTCTTACTTATATCAAAATTTAACCAAAAATGTAAAAAATAGGTTATGTTTATCCCAGTTTAGCAACGGCAGGTACTTCCCACTGAGTAACGGGACGGGCAACTCTTTTGTATAAACATATTCAATTTTATTCAATGTGGCTAGTACTGTTAATAAATTGTAAAAAAAAAATCTTTGTTCACTGACATAGTTCTAAGTAAAAATTAAATAATGATGAATATTAACAGATTTTATTATTTATTTTTAGTTGGCGTATAAAACAAGTATTGGATTTTTCCGTTTTAATGGCATATGCCCAACCCAAGGCTACATATTATTTACAGGTGAGAATTTGATATATATATAATTTAAAATAGCAGTATTATTTTCTCCTTACTTCCTTTAATTCCTTATTTCTTATTGTGTTCCTTGGCTTTGCTTTGCTCCAGAAAGGAAAAAAAATACTCATAGTATTAAGACGTCAGAAGGAATGTTAAAACTGATTTTATATTAATATTCTCACTGGGATTATTGTAACAGAGGAAATTATAGTTACGTGAAACGAACTGAAAAGAAAATCTGAATTAGGGAGAGAAAAAGGAAATTTCACTGCCTCTATTTTTTTCTGCCCATAGTTTTATTAGCTTAAACAAGTGTATTTTGAGTACTTTCTTTATGTTAGACATTGTACGTGCTTTCCACTTTTTCCCTACATCTCCTCATACTTTATGAGTTCCACAGTTCCGCAGTGCCTGATACATTTGTAAACACAGATCAGTTATGTAGCTTTTTCCCCTTGTTCCTTCCATAGTTTTAAATAGTAATGTTGTGGCTCCCGAAATCAGTCTGTACCTTGCCAATTGCAAAGTAGAAAGTTAGATAAAAGCTAAATACAAGATTTTCTCTTTTCTTGGAAAAAACTCCTGTTGATTCTACTTAGTGGCAGTATAATGGAAACATAAGAGCCAGCCAAATATTCTTTCCAGTCCACAACTCCGCAGTTCTAATGCATCCTGTGCCCTGGTAACATGCACACTGCAGAATCATTGAAGGGCCCAAAAGGGTTTCAGATTATGCATTATATAAATTAAGTGGAAAAAAAGAAATAAAAGGAAACGTAGCTCTTGTTTAGTCTCTCCTTGCTCTTTGGGAGCCCTGTTTTTCGGTATCCCGTGCCATCTCTGTCACCAGCTCGCTGTGGGTGGGAAGAGTTCATTTTCCTTTTGTCACCTCTCTGCCCAGGACTGTTTTCTCAGTCACAAAAGCTGGAGACAGAACATGGCCCTGTCATTCCGAGCACAAAGTTAGCCTTGCTGTTATCAGGACGTGTGTGTTCCTTGGCACAAAATGACTCTGCTGGGGTCCAGCCCCCAGAGGAGTGGCATGAAACAGCTGGGGCCTTTAGAGGTGATCAGATCACGAGGGCTGGCGGACATGTGGTCACTGGGGTGAGTACTCTCAGACCGCAGGCCCCTCCACCTCATGAGGGCGCACAGGAGACACCGCCTAGGAGGACCCAGCCAGCAGCACTCCCTAAGTCTGCTGGTGCCTTGATGTCCGACCTCCAGCATCCAGCACTGTGAGAAAGCCATGACCCCTGTGTGTAAGCAGGTGGTCAGCAGTGCTTTGTGACAGCAGCCCAGATCTGGCTTACCTGCGAAACCGGAGTACTGGTGAGAATGAACGTGGATTTTGATGAGTCTCTTCCTGGGAGAATTTAAACTGAATACTAGTGGTTACTATTTAGGAAAGACAAATATAATATTTCCTCTGGTTACGTTCAGAATCAGAAACTAAAAGCTGGCTATAAAATATCCTCAGTGAATTAGACTAAAAATAAAGTTATTATCTCATAAAACATCTTTTCAGTGTATGCCGTTGTAAATATTTTTTACTTTCATGTAACTTACTCAGTAGAAGCACTCAAAATACTAATACCTTTTAATGCATTTTTTCCTCCAGCTAGAAGATGATATCATAGCTAAAAAGATGTACTTTACAAAATTAACAGAATTTATTAAAAATATGACTTCGAATGATTGGTTTTGTGTTCAGTTTTCAGTGCTGGGATTCATAGGTAAGCAATAGATTTACTGTTAGGTCAAGTTTTTACACACAATACTCTTCAAACTTAGAGAATTTATCAGCAAATTGGTTACTAAATAGAAAGGAATGGCAGAATTCCTTTAAATAGCCTATAATTGTAATAATAAAGTCAGCTTCAGACAACATATTTTTGAACAACTTTTTTCTAAATAGACAACATTAATGAGTGAAACAACATACATACACATAGGTTATATAAATACATAGTTAGCAGCTTCTTACTAGGTCTGGCACCTGTTGACCTAGTGACAAGGATGTACTTTTTTTTTTTTTTTTTTTTAAGGGAATCCTAATGGCGGGGGTGGAGCTCAGTGATAGACAAGGGCAAGAACCCTGGATCAACCTGTAGCACCAGAAAGAAAAAGGGGGGGGGCACTGAATCATAGAAATGAGGTAGTAATGGAAGGAATTTTATCTCAGAATGATTGTACTCCAGTGTCCGAAGTTTCTAGTATGCCAAATGACTTTAATGTCTTAACCTGAGCCCGTAATTTGACTTTCTCCAGTTCATCCAGACTGTCCTCTTTCTTTCTTGTTTTTACTTCCTGCTTTCCATCTTTTTTTCCCGCTGAACTTCAAGATCTCATGTTGAATTTCACAGTGTGACATTACTGACCCACCCGTTACTGATTCACCTATTCTCTTATTTTATTCTTTTATTCCAACCCCTACCTCAACTTCCTCCAAGGCCCTAAAAGGTTTCACTTTAATATGTTCAAAATATATGTATATCCACATAAAGCATTTCGTGTTTCTCAGGTTTGTATTTTAATTTACTTCCATGGTAACGTGGCAAGCCTATTTCTGTTCCTTGCACTTTTGCTCTCAAAACTAGATTAAAAACTCAAAATATCACTTTATGTTCATTTGGTTTACTGTTTCCTACTGCTACATACATGCTGCATAGTAATCCTCTTTGCCGTCCATTCCCCGAGTGGCAAATCTTATTTCCAATTTTCTGCCACTCCAAAAAGACTGAAATGTCACATGTGTTCCCTGAGGTGGGACTGCTGAGGACAAATACAGCTGGGTAGCTCATAGAACCTGTTGCTTTATAATTGAATTGGCTCTATAATTTATGCTGTCATGAGTAATGTGTATGAGTTGGGTTTCTCCACAAGTTTGTCGACATTTGGTTTCATCCTGTACATTTTATTTTATTTTACTTTATTTTCATTGTCATTCAGAAGAGCATAAAGTTTTTCTGATTGCTAATCAGTGTGCTGTTCTTTATATGCTTATTTGGTCACTTTTTTTTCTCAATTATTCTGTGAATTGTTAAGGTTTTCACTCAGTTTTGGCCAAAATAAGAAGAAAAATTGTAGGTACTTGGAATACCTGATGAGAAGCTTCAAGAGTACTTGCTCTCAGTGCTATCCGTACTACTCTGAGAATTTACAAGTTTCAAAGAATTCATCTTTCCTTTCCCAGCAAGTTAAGAAGCTCAGAGTACAGTAGAGTACAGTACTTACGTTCTCATCACACAAGAGTATGTTTAACAAGGACCACTATGTATGCGATGCTGAAGTCTTATTAAGCTTCCTTTACAAAGGCTTTGCTTTTTGCTATCACAGCAAGTTATTTTATTCATTATTTATCAAAAATATGAACCTGAGAAATAGAACTGTACAGCCTGCTAACAGCAGGTTAGGAAATGAATCAAGTATTTCCATCAATGAATCATTTGTTTTGGCTTCTGTATGAATAAGTATCAACATTTAAAATATACATATTCATTTCATTAAAGTGACCCACATAGACTCAAAGGCAAGGAAACATTGAAACAGACTACATCCTACAATCACGCTTATTATTTGGTTGTAGGTATTTTATATTGTTTACTCTAAAATGAAAATTTAACTAAGTCTTACTGCTTGAATTTCACATTAAAACTGAAAATACAATAGGTCATTAATAGAACAAATAAGATCCTACCTAAAATATAGTAACTATATTTTAAATCTGATTTAAGAACCACAAATATAAAAAGTTCTGATAAGACAATGTTCACATGTTGAGATAATACAACAGTGATAAAAACTAAGTGAATATGTGAATATGTGATAGATTAAGTGCTACAAAAGTAAGATCAACAAATTAGTTTTTATGCAATTAAGTAACAAATTTCAGGTTTCATAATTTTTTTCTTTCACTTGATTTAGACAATCAGTTAGCACTAGCTATCAAAATTAATTTCCTAAGAGCAATGGTTAAACTTACACTTCTTTTTTCAGAGCTGATACTTCTTAATAAGTACTTTAGCAGATAGAGTGTCTTATTTCATCATCTTCCAACTTTATTATTCTTTAAACTTTATAAGAATAGGATACATTCATATTCTAATAATTTTTTCTCTTTTTTCATTTTAATGAGTTCGACAACTGTTTGTGAGTTACTTGCATTTATTTACCCTTTCTCCATAGGAAAACTGTTCAAATCTAAAGATTTACCTGAGTTTGTACACTTTTTTTTAATGTTCTATGAGGAAAGACCTATTGACTTACTCGTAGATGAAATTTTTCACATAAAGATATGTGATGCAGGAGAACCACTAGTGAGTATTTCTTTACTTTAAAATGACAACTACTTTAAGAAATCATTGTCTATTTAATGTGATTATCCTAAATTAATTCACTAAACCAATCTGATGAGTGCATCAAATTTTTAAACTTCTCATAACCTAAATATTTACTGAAATTTTCATATATTAAATGAGAGGCCAAATACACTGTGAAAAGTAGAAATAGAAGAAAATAGAGTATAGAGAAAAATAATGGTAGACATAATCTCAAACATTATGATATTTATAGTAAATATTAGTGTTTACGATATACCTATGAAGAGATGCCAAGAAAAAAATTTTAAATTATATTACTGTTATGGCTTGCATTTAGAAGTCCCTCACAGCCTCATGTGGTCATAGATGAGACTTTTTCATAGGTGGCTGGATCTAGAGTGTGTAATTAATTCATGGTGCAATGCTGGGATTAAGGTGTGTGATTACTAAATCAGTCCATTGATTGGTTTGGACCACCTTAATCCCAGATAGAGCATAAAACACCAGAATTGCCTCTAACAGCAGAGTCTCAAAATACATGAAGCCAAAACAGAACTTAAAGGAGAAACAAATTCATCTACCATGACAGTTGACTTCAAGCTTCTTCTCTTGGTAATTGATAGACAGGAGATGAAAACCACTAAGGAGACAAAAATAACTGAACAACAACATCAGAAACTGAATTTGGTAAAAACCACGACACCCAGCACATATTGTAAACTTTAAAAATTTAAGCTGAAATAACATCACAGTATGAAATAATATCACATTGCTTCTCTTGTCTGAGAAACCAAAGGGTGAATGAGGAGCATGGTGGAGAGTAGATAGTGGGAAGCAGTAGTTCAGATGGAAAGGAAACAGTGGAGGTGGAAAGAACAAAGGAAGAAAGGAAAGGAAAGAACAGAGAATGGGGGGAAATGGAAACAAAGCTTCTGCAAATGCAGAGGAGAAGAGCAGCCAAAGGGAGGGGAGGTAAGTGAGGGAAAAAAGAGCTGAGACAGGTTATGGACAGGAACAAGTTCCCTGTGGTGAATGTGATCAGTATGTATGACAAAAATTTTTTAAATTTTTTTAAATTAAAAATTGGAAAAATAAAATAATAAAAAAAGAAAAGTATGTTCTCTGGCCAAAGTAGACTTAAATTAGAAATCAGTAACAGAAAGATAACTGAAAACTCGCTAACACTTGGAAATTAAACAGCACACTTCTCAGTAAACCTCGGGTAATAAAGGAAGCCTCAAAGAAAATGAGAAAATCCTTTGAATGGACTGAAAATATAATGTATCAACATTTGGGAAATGCAGATAATGCAGTCTTTAGAGAAAAATTTATAGTATTAAGTCTAAATCTTACAAGAAAAGCCTCATTAAAATTCTAAACTATGGGGCTGGAGATATAGCTCAGCAGCTTAAGTGTTTTCCTGGAAAGCGTAAGGTCTTCGATTCCCAATACTCTCCCTGACAAAAAGGGAAAAAAATCTAAGCTATCATAATAACATCAAAAAATAAAAACCATATAAACTCAAAGAGCAAGTAAAAAGAAGAAAATTAGGATAAAGGTAAAAACTAATATTAAAAACATAAAAGCAAGAGAAGCTAATGAAACTAAAAAATAGTTTTTTGAAAAAAGCAACAAAACTGATTGTCGTGAGTGTCTTAGAGCACTCTGAACTCCGGGAAAGGTAAACACGCACACACGCCTGATCGGGACACGGGGGGTACAGTGCTCGGAAAGGAAGACAGGACACGGCACTTTTACTGTCTGCACCGCGTTACACTGCACTGCACGCACAATCTTTATTTTAGGATTCATATATAGTAAACCCGATCAGTTCACAGAGCCCAGATAATTAAGTAGTGAAAAGGCATTCTTTGTGGCAAGCTACAACGTGACAGACTACAATGTTTATTCTAAAACTATCTAAGTGAAGTAAATAATCACAACCAGTTCTCATAACTTCTCTAGCCCAGGAAGAAATTCATTAGCTCAAGAATGTTGTTAATTTGTCTGCTGTTAGTGTCACAAAGGGTGGCCAGCCACTTCCTCAAGACTTCTGCAAAACAAAGCCAGCTCACAGTATGGATTCCAGAGGGTGAGGGGTCTCACTGAGAACAGGCATTCCTATTCTACCTCCTTCTCGCATACCAGGGCGGCTATTGTAAATTGCAGGTTAGAGGGGGTTGGGCCTACAAAGTGACACCTCATCCCCCACACTTCCTTCCTTTTTATTTTTTAACAACAATTTCCATAAGATCAGGTTATTAATAGTATTTCGTCTTATGCAGTAAAAATACACAAGAACTATGGCAATGAGAACTATAATTAAACTAAGTCCCATGCCACTTAAAGTGTGGGTTATGTTCTGCCAGATTCCTTTGGAATCTAATCCTTTCAAAGATTGAGCAAGCAATTGCGCGAATTGTGCCAGGGATTCATCATCATTTTGCTTTGCAAAATCCTTGTCAATTTGATTATGCAAAGATTCTATTTCCTCCTGGGCAGAGGTGTTTCCATTTAGATACATTCTAATCACTTCCCATTCATGTTCTGTTTGATTATAAGGTCATTGGGTTATACAGAAAGTAGTTGAATTCCAATTACATTTTAAAAACACTTGATGCTGAAGAGCCAATATTTTTCTACCCATCCATTCAACTGTTTGTTTAAGGAGGTCTATTTGTTGTTGTAGTTTGGCGTTTATTTGCCACTGAGTTAACCAAAGTTCATGAGAATTTTCATGCCATAATTCTACAACATGTTTTTCTTGCAAAGAGGTTTGTAAAGCTATTCCTGAGACTGCTGCTAGGGAGGCTACAGTTATCAGACTTAACAGTACAGCAACCACTATTCCAATAAATCTTTTTGTACGTTTTAACAGATGTTTAAAAAATTCAGTAGTAACAGAAATTACTGGGTCTTGAGACCATGGTCGAGTTAAATTTACAGGCAACCAAATATGAGTTTTTTGTTGTAACAGCATAACTGTATAAGGCTTGGTGAAATTTAGTGTGCTATTTAAGCATGTAAACAATTGACAATTTAAACAAGTACAAGAAAAATGTGTAAAATTAAAAGTTCCCACTAAAAAGACATAAGGCAGAGGTGCACAAACAGTAATATTATACATTTTAAACCTAGTAAAATTATAAGTAGTAGATACAGATCGACTAGTCCCTGAATAGGAAACATTGTACAAGGTTACAGGTTGCATAGCGGCTGGAATCTTCCAAATATGATTTTGAAGGTGATGAGGGTATTCTTCGGCTGCAACAGCAGGGTTAGCGATTCCACCATCTCCCCACCACAAAAGAGACGTCTTCTGAGGAAATATAGGAGCTCCGTCAGTTATTTTCTTTGGATCTGGAAGACTATACACAACAGAGAGATTACATCTTGTCTCATTCCAATCAGCACATCCATTAACGAATTTTTCAAATGGTCCCCAAATAATATACCCATCAATATTTTTAGCAAATTTTCCCATACATAGTTGCCAAATTATGGGATTATAAGAAATATTTTTATAAGTGAATTCAGGGCATACAGGAAATGTATTTATGTCAGGTGCTGTTAAATTTCTCCAGGTAACATTAAAGGTTTGAGCAGCCAAGGCTTGAAGCCTTGTCCTTTTGTTGCCTGCTTTTATTCCATGTTGAATCCAATACTGCCATCCCAGAGGGATGCAAGGGGGTTCCCCAATGCAAATAGGCCTTTGATTACCATAATAAGTAAAATTGAATAATGTCCCATCATCTTGATTGTGGGGGGTTAAATCAGCCCACGGTGCTGACAAAATTTCTCTAGGTGTGGTATAAAGTAAAATATCACTAGTTCCCCATTTTACAGGTTCTAATAAAGGGGGATTTGGAATATATGCCCAGTACGAATGTGGAGGTACCTCAGTCCCCGATGCAACGGTGAGCAAGGCACATAAAGCTAAAAACAAGTTTTCAGGGTTTAAAGGCTTTCCTGCTTGAAGGACAAGCCGTTGCCCTTCTATGGTCAATTTCTTTAATTGTCCCCATGTAGGGAGGGGATTTAAATTTGGTCGCTGTGAGCGGCGGGATTTTCTTAGCTGTAATCTGGCCATGGCTGCGATAGGAACAAGCTCAGCATCTTCAGCCTCTAGCTGGTTTCGCGCTCGCTTCTGAAGGCACGGTTCCGGTTCCTTGGGGAGTTGTCTCCGGGGCTGGCGAACAGGGTCTGGAGGCGCGGATCCTGATCCATCGTCCAGGGACCCACTGCTGAATTCCATTTTCTGTGGAGATATAACCAAAACCTTTCCCCTTATAGAGCAGTGTGCCCTTCTCCCATTCAGCCTCTGGAGCTGTTTTAGTCCAAATAGGTTCATTAATCACAAAGGGCTGTTGTTGCTGTTCGAAATGTCTTTCAGCTCTTGTTAATATTTCACCTTGTGGTAAATTGAGAAAATTTAAAATAAACAATGCTTGATGCAGTAATGTTTTTGGACTGTTTTGCAATTTAAACAGTATTGGTATCTGAATATCCTCCTGACTCCTCCTTTTTAATTTTTTAATTTGCAACTTAACAGTGCCATGTGCTCTTTCAACAATAGCTTGACCCTGGGGGTTATATTTAATCCCTGTAATATGAATAATATTATGGAGATCACAAAATTGTTTAAATGTTCTGCTAGTATAAGCAGGTCCATTATCTGTTTTGATTTTAGAAGGAATTCCCATAACTGCAAAAGTCTCCAATAAATGTACAATAACATTTTTAGTGGATTCTCCCTGTTGAGCAGTAGCCCATAGAAATGAAGAATATGTATCAATAACTACATGTACATAAGAAAGCCGACCAAAAGAAGGTACATGTGTAATATCCATTTGCCATAACTCATTAGGTTGAGTTTCTCGAGGGTTGACACCTGCGGGAATAATTCTTAAATGTAATGGTCTACAAATAGGGCAGGCTTTTACAATTTGTTTAGCTTTTGTAAAAGGTATCTTATATTTAAGATGTAAATGTCCTGC